TTGCAACCTCTTTTCTATGCCCTAACCGGTTGGGCTCAGTTGATAAAGAGTGTCAGCCTGTGGACTCAAGGGTCCCAGGTTCGATTCCGTTCAAGGGCATGTACCTTGGTTGCGGGCACATTCCCCAGTAGGGAGTGTGCAGGAGGCAGCTGATCGATGTTTCTCTCTCATTGATGTTTCTAACTCTCTATCCCTCCCCCTTCCTCTCTGTAAAAAATCAATAAAATATATATTTTTTAAAAACAGTAAAATAAAATCAATGAACCATGAAGATACTATGTGCTTGAAATCATGAAAGATTCCCTTTGCACAAACCCCCTCAAAAATGGTAGAAAATGATGCTAAACATTACAACAAATTCATTTATTCATAGTGATTATGTTCTTGTAGTACAGCATCTGGGAAATCAGGTTGGTCCTGTTAGTACTAGCATTTACTCCCGTCACACCCACATGCTTTGCCCTTCCATTCTCCATTGTAGGGTGGAGCATAAGAGATACTAGTCTCACAGCCTGCCCATCCCCATCTCTGTCTTACAGTCCCATGAGTCTTATTAAAAAAACATACACACTAGCACTCTAACAAATTCATATTTTAAAAGTATGGAACTATGGCAACAGTGTCAGCACATGCATGTTTCACAGCCTTCTCTATACATTCAGCACATGCAAAAATAGAGCTCCCCCAGCCTAAGAATTTGCTGACACTTCCAAAAATTGCAAACGTCTCCAAAACAGTATCTCATACCTGCAACTAAAGTTCAAAACAGGGGGCAAACAACACAGGATGCAAGTACTAACTTTCAGTTATGAGAAGATGTCACCTCATTCTCTGAATGCAATTCCCAATCAACCATAAATTGATTTGGAAATCTCTGTGTTCCCTTCAAGTTTTCCCTGTACCTGTGCCTCATTTCACAATTAGCCGTTTCTACCAGTGAATGCAATATGATAATATGAAATTCTCAAATGAAGGTCTTAGTGTTTTAAGAACTCTGGAAAGGTCTGATTTGGAAAGAAATGAAAATAAGGTTCTAGTTTTCCGTCTCACACATGAGCTCTTTTCCAACATCAACATGGATAATCTAGAAACTGGCTAAATTCTAAACCTAACTTTTGGGTGTCACAAAGAGATCATTCTCCCTTGGGAATACAGGAACTCTAAGCTGCTACCTACGCTTTTGTTTTATCACCATAACTAAATACACAAATACTATTAATCATTCTCTCATTACTAAAAACAATTTTGATCTAAAAATGTTTTATATGAGGAAATAAGTAATACTCAACTTATTTCCCTCTTTCCAAATCTCCTCTTTAAACCTAGGCAACTAGCTAAATTTTCACCAATAGTATACCAAAGGGATTTATTATTAATATTTTAACCAAAATCACCATAGACAGGGTCCTTATTTTCTCTATTGAGTATAGTATCAAGTGATTCTACAAAAGGAACTGTATAGCTATTAACATTTAATAACATTTGAATCTAGATATAAACAAAAAGAAATGTTGGCTTCACCAACATAAATAAAAAGAAATATTTTTAAAATACTGATTTAAACTTGCAATGAATGCTTAGCTCAACAGAAAAGTCAAAACAATTTGTTATAAAATCAACTTTTAATGTCTGCTGGTCCCTTCACAAACTAAGTGAAGGCTGCTATTATTATTATTATTACCACTATTTTAAATGTGCAGTTTACCTGAAAATAATCATATTTATGAAAAGTTTTAAGTTGTACCAAAGGCTAAAGGCTATATAAAATACCTGAAATTTTAAAATCACAGTTTAGTGCCAAAAATATTTTCATTGTTTTCAAATAAATAAACATGGAACTATAACTGGGTTTTTCAAGTGCAAAGCTATTGAATCTACATTTTAAAAATTGTCTCTTTTAGAAATTCAATGGAAAGCATTTAAATGAAAACCTTAGTTTACTACTTCCAAAAATAAATCAGCATTTTTAAGTGTAGAAAAATTGGAAACTGTGTAATTAATAGGCTGGAAAGTTAAATATCACTGCTAGTAACCAATTATGTCTGCAGAATTTCAAGGGAACCTATTGTATATTAAATTTTTAAAAAGTGAACTCATCTCCCCTCTCATCTCAAAACTTTCTCAACTTTCCCATTACAACCAACAATTTAACTTGCAGTCAACTCTTCCAGACCAGTAACATCAGAATTTATTTTTAACTCCTGACTCCTTCCCAAATATTCCCCTTCAATCCAATACAAAATCCTGCCAGTTCTTCATTCAGTTGTTCTCTCAAATACGTTCTTTTCATCCCATTTTCACATTTTACTTTATACTCCCTCATGATTCACAACACACCCTTACTATATCCCCAAAAGGGCTCTAATGACTTGACTCTAATCCATTAACTCAGCTGTCCAAATGATCTTCGAATATCTTGGTACAGTCATCTACAATAAATTCCAATATCTCTTGAAGCTCAACCAAACTCTTATAGGCAGGCCCCTTCTACCCTTCATCAGCTATTAACGTATTTTCCAGATTCCACCTCTCGTTTTCCTATTTAGATTCCTTTAATTCAGATTTACCAACTTGTTTGGTAAATACAAAAATCATTTACCTGTCGTACAAAAAAACCGCCATCTCTGTACCTCTGTCCAATGTTTCCATCGAGAATCCTGTATGCTTCTGTATCAATTGAAGTTATTGCCTCCTTTACCACCTTTCTTAAAACACACTTCTGCAGAAGTCTTCCCTCTCTAACCCATCTGCCTCACCTCTTTATTCTCTGTTCCTCTTTACAAAGCATTCTATTTGTATTTATAAACTTACAGTCATCTTGGTAGTGTCTTCATATTTTGTCCCATAATCTGCCTCTACTACTAAATGATAAGCTTTTGAGGACAAGGACTACATTTTCTTATGTATCTCTCTCTTGAACAGGGGTACCTGAACACTAGCACTCTAACAAATATTTAATGATTTCCCTTTCTTCTAAAATGTCCTTTAAGTCAAGGTTGTCGAAAACAATTAGCACTGAACTCCAACTTTTTAAATGTTAAGTTGATCTATATGATAACAGAAAATTAAACATTTTAACCTACACTTTACAAGAATTACCTCATCAGTCAACATCCACATTATCAAGAATTAAGAAGTCATTTTCAAAGTAAATTCTGGGGATAAAATGAAATGTCCAAAATTTTAACATAAGCTATTCTATTTTGCTTTCTGAAATAGAGCTAATATATTAATTACCTAAAATTGATTTTGAGTGGTTTTTAAACTGTATTACCAAGATGAAAAAACAAACACCCCAATAGCACAAGAGGCTCTTAAGTAGCTATTATAAGATTTGCTTCATCATAACTGAAAATTACCCTAGAGTTTTTAAATATTCCTTTCAAATGATCCCATGAAGTGCTTAGAAAGCCTGACCCTTCCGTGAAGATGCATCATCAGCTTCCCTCTTCACATACCCTGCATTCTGCACTAGCTAGTCATCACCCACAAACCCCACTCCAAATTAACTTTCAAAAATAACCTCCAATTCAGCTATTACCTTAGACTACCCTGTTTCAGGTAAGTTCCAAAAGCCAACAGAATTGAAATCCTGAATTCAACAAGAATCATTTTATGTTGCTTAAGGATATAGTCAATTTCACATAACAGCATATGCTTCTTAAAAAAAAAATCTCAGTTCTTCAGTTCTCTCCTTCTTCTAGGCAACAAAATAGTTTTTCTTTGCCCTCGTGGGATAAGAAACTAAAATTTTTGCCAAATTCTGGAAATATTTTTAAATACGCTGTCATTAAATAGCACATAAACAAATCCACAAGTAGAGATACATCAGAACACTGGATACTTAGTATACCAAACACCTCAAGAACACAGACTTTCAGCACAAATCTGGGACAAGAGTACACTCTAGCAACAACCCTGAACACAGCCCAAATATCCCTATTATATGCAGGACCACAGCGTTCTGCAAAACCTATGATGGAAAGGTCTAAATCCATATTCTCACATCTAAATCCATAGTTTTATTTAAATGTGACAGAAAACCAATGCAAGAACATTTTAAATAATCCTAAGAGGACCCCTGACCTCTATCTAGATCATCCAACAAGTACAAATGCAATGGCACCCAAAATTGAACTTAAATGACAAGTCAGTAACAATTAACATTCAACTTAGTATTTGACAACATGACAATACAAACCTCAATCAAAAATTGGACCTACTCCCAAATTACCTTTTGACTAAACATAAATTATACAGTAGTAGACAGGTAATGTCAAAACGGGAAGGATCAAAGATAACATATTAAACCACTTATCCAATTTAAAACCATGCAAATAGAGATACTACTGCTTCTGGGTATCAGCAGTTCCCACTAGCTCCTCGTAAAGGAAGGAATCAATACTCGCCTCCCAACGTGAACGCCCCCGTTACTGAACAAGTTCATGGCAGGATTTAGAACAAATACTTTGTATAGTCACACAAGCAAGAAAGAAATGTCAGGCAACTGTAACACTCCGTCTCTCCATTAAGTATATTCAAAACGATGGAAACCCCTGAGACCTGATCTAACTAAAATACCCCTCGTTCCAAACGACATAAAACGAGCAACAATACATCATGCTTTATGAATCAAGTCTTGTCCTCTTTCTCCAAAAGGTTGAGCAAGTCAACACTACCATCGCTATTTTAACGCGGAAATACTCTGGCACTTAACACAGCTGACTACCAACAGCCAGGCAAGTAGAAGAAAAGAAGTTGCAAATCAAATCGTTCAAACAAAAACCGTATTCTCTCAACTCAAGGTTAATGAGACCGGGGGAGGGGGGTATGGGAGGAGAAAAGAGGGAGCTGCTTCCTCCTTGCAGACAGGTTCTTGCCCATTTCCATCACATCTGATGGCTGTATCGGCAGGTCTAAGGCCTGACGACCCTGGCATTTCCAGGTCTCCTATTTTAAGGATGCAGCGGAGAAGGGTGGAGAAGAAAATCAATACTTACTGCTAACTTTCATGCTGCCAAACGCCGAAGGCTGCTGCACTGGCTTGCAGCTCTCCGCAAAGGAGGTGGTTCTGGGCCGCCCTGACATGATCACTCTCTTCCTGAATCACCTTCTTTTCCTTCCTTCCTCCTCCTCTTCCTTTTGTTGTATGTTGGGATGTTAGGTTAATGACAAAAGCAGCATTAAGTTCTCCCACAAGAAAAAGAAAGACTTCGTTCTCTTGGGGTTTTTTCCACTCCTTTTGTATAGCTATTTAAAAAACGAGCGATGTGTTTCTCCTTCAAGACAGATCAGTATGGGTATTTAACATAGATGATTTGGGACAAGGGGGGAAAAAATACAATTCATTCCCCTCCCTTTCCTTGGAGGAGAGAAAAGGGGAGGGTGGATCCTAAAAAAAATATATATATATAGATATATATCACACGAAACGGGGACAAATACTTGATTGAAAATAAGTACTTTGAATATTCTATTTTCCTCGGGGATTTTTTTTCCGAGTCAATGAAGAAGGGAAGCGGCGGAAGGATCACGAGTCTCACGCTTGAAAAGAAGGGGGATGGGAAGGAGGGAGGGAGAGGGAGGGGGCGGCTCGGAGAGGC